ATATGTTACTGAGATGCAACATGGCAGTTATTCAAGAAAATAACGAAGAACATTGAGCTGGCAAAAAAAGTGAGTTACAATCAAATATATTGCCATTTTGATTAAAGTTCTTAATCATTTCAGATCTTTTAATGAGTTTATCTGACACCTGGCTCTGATTCTAAGTTCATGAAATAGACACTGTGCTTAAATTGATTCCAGTTTGTTACTTTTTGTATTGCAGATCAATATAATTTTAGTCATGTGCTCCAAAAATAACCTATTGATTACATGCAACCGTCTCAAAAACAACAGCCCAGTTTCGATTTTCAAAACCCCTTTCCAATAAACTTCATGTTTTACATGTAATTATTCTTCGTCTGATTATCTCTGATCGGAGTATAGCCCATAAAAATAAAAAACAAAAAACCGGAAACCGACTAGGCCTCCTGTAACTTTCAATTTAAATCGCGTGTACATATACAGTATGAAAGCCCTATTTTATTTCCCAAAATAAAATTATTATTTTATTTTGTATTAAAACGTACAGTCTTGTGCACTAAAAAGAGAATTGAGAAGTATCTGAAGCACTTTTTTTTGTCTTTTACGATAGTTGTTTGTCACGTCGCAAGAATCCAAACAAAAGTCCAGTGTCTGGTAAAATATTCCGTGCCATTAAACTGCTGCGTGTTTGACTTTTGAAGCGATTTTATCTGTCTCCTTTAGTCATTCTGACATCCTCATTTGCAATAGTAGCTTCTTTGTTTACTTCTTCTTCTTCTTCTTTTTCTGTTTATTGGCGGTTGGCAGACTAGCTTATTAGTACATTACCGCCATCATCTGAACTGGAGTGTGGAGCATCGATGCATGTATATGTGTCCTATATGAATATATATCACACTAAATAATAATACTAATAGTCATAAATAAATAAATAAAAAATAAACAAATAAATAAACATCATTATATTCTTATATAATTTCCTGTATCTTTAAGATATTTCAACACAGCAAATCTAATATTCTTATTCCTTTTTAGCTTACTTAATATATCTTCTAGCATCATGCTTCCACCTTCTATTACTTTAGCTTCTAGCATTTGTCGTTCGTTGTTATATGCTCTACAATGCAACAGTGCATGCTCTACAGTTTCACAAATCCCACAATGCATGCATAATCCATTCGGATGTTTCTTAATTCTAGTTTCTGATTCTAAACATAGTATTGAATCCATTGTCGTTCTACCTTTCCGGAAGCCACTTTGATGAGGAGTTTTGTTTACTTCTGCAGCTTAGCATTACTTTCGTTTTCATCTTCTTCGTGGTTTTTACTGACGTGATGTGAACAGCTGAACTGCCCCCTACTGGACTGGAGCGTGGATTTCTACTATTTCTAAACACTACATGTATTATTGTCCCTCTTTCTGGACTATTATCTAAGCTTGATACTGTAAATGCCTGCCATCCTGTGGTTTGTATTTATTTCGTACATTTAATTCTGTTTGTATTAGGAAGTCCTATTACAGGCTACATGTTATGTATTTATGTTACAAGGGCAACAGGTCTATCAGCTAATGAAAAGAAACCTTTCTTAGTTTTGCACAGGGAATAAAAATTGCATTGCCTCAATTCTACTGGCAGCCTGCCTTATATCCATACCTTATTAAATAAATCCAGCTGTTTTAAGCAGCATGTCATCTGTATATGAAACTCTATTTGATTTTATCTTCCCTGTCCTAACTTGACTATCACTGATTCAAGTTAATGTATTCCAATACCAGTGTTAAGTTCCCTGGTGATCATAAATACACTTCACATGATGTGAGAAACTGCCGATAAATTTGACATTTAATCAGTAGACTGATGGCAGTTAGAGGTGCAGCATTATATCCTAAATCAGTACAACTGATTACGTAAGATTTGATTACATTATGCTAATGTGTTTGATTATTAATGTGGTTCCAGCATGTTTCTCTCTCAAATGGTAGTCAAGATCTTCAGTGACACACAAATACATGACACAAATTTAGCCTTTAGTTCAAACTTGTATTATTAAAGCTCTTAAATTAATACCAAATACAACTGACCGGAGATTCAAAAATCATTTTTGAGCTGCACAACATGTAAAGAGGTGCAGTCTCTGTGGCTTGTACAGTGTACAGTAATGTTCAGATATTAAAAAACAGCAATAAGCACTCCGGGAATGTACCAAACACAATGAGATTTCCTTATATATTTGTGCATTAAAACAGACTTAAACTTAAATACAAATAAAAATGTCTAATACATAAATGTAAGTATGATGCAAAAAAATAAAAATAAGTATGATGTAAGTGTGTATGCATAATGTATAATATATGATGTATAAAAATGCAAAATGAATTATGGCCTGCAAATATTTAAAAATATAAAAATGGGAAATACTGATAATACAGATTCACATCTTTGTACATACAGACAACAATTTAACATTCACACTTCTGACTTTCACTTTTAGTTCATTTGATATATGTTAGTGTTAAATTTTACAATTAGAATTATGATTAGCAATATTTGAATTGCTCCATTATGGATTTAATCCCAATATGATGATTTCAGGCCTCATACTGAACTCCCAGACTCCTGTGTATTCGACCCATCTCTTTTCTGACCGGACCCTTTTCCTGCCACTGCTCCACCTGTAAATTAAACCAAAGGATTTGTATGAACACTAAACAAGATTAATCATTCAATATTACTTGCGTACATGTATGTTTTTATTAATGCTGCATTATTAATTAGAAAGTCTGAGCTTCTTCCAACCTGTATACATTAGATTTTTTTTTCTAAACAGCAATAAACTACTTCAGTTAAAATCACAATGAATCTGAAAAAGAAACAGATCTTTTTATATTGTGACATATATCCAAGTGTAACATATCAAAAAAAGCAGTTGTTGACTGGATTTTAAGATCACTTTTTTTATTTTAAGGGCACTGCACTCAAGAGTGGACGCAGATCTGAATGCAAGAATAGGCATAGGAGAAAAGTCTGTTGTTTAAGTACAAATTGAAGTTGAAGGAATTCGCCATCAAATAAATGCATGTGGGTAACAACACACTAAATGTATAAGCTGTAGCTTTAATTAGGGATTGTATTATTAATCATCTCATCATATAAAGCATCTCAACAAAATACCTGTTCTAACACAGTGCCGCCCTGCTATCCTTCTCTGTAAATGTTAGAAATGTTTCGTTTCATAGACTTCACAGTAGGAGCAGTCGACCGAGTGCACTAAGATGTGAGCTCAATAAATCTGACTAAAAATAAATTTTTTGAAAATATTTTATATCCAAAAGTTGAACCACTTCAAATCTCTCCTCCTGATTTACAACAGGACCATAAACTGCAGTACAATGAGTGCATTGAATCAGCTTTGACAGATTTTTTTTAAAAGAGTCAATATTCGTACAGTAAACCAGTTTAATAAAAATAGAAAAAAAACTGTTTCGTTTTGTTTTTCCTCCTGTTGATGAAAACATACCAAACAGTGACTTTAAAACTGAGGTATGCAGCAAAGTGTCATTTTTGTGTACCGTTACACCTCTATTGAATAATAATCATTTTAGATTCTGAAGAGGAATATCTCACCTGAGGATGACTCGTCCAGTCCTGTTGATTTCTCTGCTTCCGGAGTTTTTGAATCTGTCATCAAATATTCACCAATAGCACTGCCTATACCTTTTATACCAGCTTTTACGCTAAACCAAGTTCCTTTCTCCACGCTATAAGAAGGAACAGAGAAAGAAATGTTGTTTCTGTATTTTTTTTTTCAAATATACAATAAATACAAATTTTAAAGTTACTGATGAATCATGATTTGCTTGTGATAATCTTAGAATGCAGATTTTATGCACACATTTGTGTGTACATGAAGTTTTTGAATAAGACTAAATATTTGTTTTAAATTTAATACATTCAGAACATGAATAAAACCGTTGTATTGAAAATGAATGAATTGTTTTCTCAATGAAAAATTAGGACACGAGAGAGACATGAATCGTGATTTTGGATGGCTGTGAGCTGAGGCTGGTATTTGCACTTATTTTAGCAGGATTTTAGGTTTTTTCTACAATCTGTCCAAGATTAAAAAGGTAAATGAAGCTCTCTTTAACACCACAAAGAGACATTTACTCACCTCAGGTTACAGTCTGAGCCTTGTAGTACTTCAATGAGCTGCTCTTTTGACTTTCCTATTTTATTATTACTCAGATCAAGCTCTTTTAGAAACTGCAGTGCTTTTGTGTTTGTCAAAGACTGAGTTAAAGAAGAAACATCTGTAATGCCACAGTCATGCAGACTAGAAAGAGACAAACGGACAGAAAAAGCAATCATTTTACAAACAAATTAAGGTGAAGAAAATACCAATTATAATGTGAACTCAGGCTCCTCGTGAGATAAGGAGAATAAAGTGTCTACATTTAAGCTGTTTAACCATTTTCATTCAGTAACACCTTTGTATAAGGAGCAATTCTCACGATTACCTAGTTGCTTATTAGAATGCTTATTACTAGCATATTGGCTGTTTATTAGTAATTATAAAGCACATAATCTGCATTCTACATCCATAATCCTACCAACATCAAAATTTTAAAACTACCTAACTAACTATAAATAAGCAGTAATTAGGAGTTTATTGGGACAAAATTTGTATAGTAGTTAATAGTGAGAACTGGTTGAGAACTGGTAAAAAGTCAGGAATGCACCTCACCTCAATCTCTCCAGTTTACAGCGTGAATCCTTCAGTACATCACATAAGATCTTCAATCCTGTGTCTTTTATTTTATTCTCATTGAGGTCCAGTTCTCTCAGGTGTGATGGGTTTGATTTCAGAGCTGAAGTCAGGATGAGACCCTGTTCCTCTGTAATACTGCATTCACACAGACTGAAGACAGAAAGAGAAAGAACAATGACTCAGATCTATGATGACCACTTACTATGTAGAGGAGGCATATAGTTTCCCATAGCTAGGAAGGATACTAACTGTAGTTTCTCCAGCTTGCATTGTGTGTTCTTCAGTAGATCACTGAGGGTTTTCACTCCAGAGTCTCCTAGTTTATTCTTGCTGAGGTTCAGTTCTCTCAGGTGTGATGGGTTTAAATTCAGAGCTGACATCAGAGCAGAACAACCTTTATGTTTCACATCCCAGCCTTTTAACCTACATAGAAAGAGCAGAAAATAAGATAATACTTTGTTTTATAAAGTCACATCTCCCTAAACAAAATATGAAAGATCATTATCTTTATTTCACCAGATCACAAACAGCATAATTCAGATTTTGTTTTTTTTACAAATATAATCAAAAACTCAAAAGTGAATCTAAATTAATGCAATATCTCCAGTTTACATTTAAAAATGGATGCTGGCATACAAAAATGTCCATAAATTAAAATACACACCTCAATTTCTTCAATCTGCATTGTTTATTTGTCAGCAGAGGACAGATCTTCTCAATTCCTGAGTTTCCTATTTTATTCCCACTCAGATCCAGCTCTATCAGGTTTGAAGGATTTAAATTAATCGCTGAAGTCAGAGCAACACAACCTTCTTCTGTAATGCTGTTATTATTCAGTCTGCAGAGAAAGGAAAAAAGGGTTTAATGGATAGCAGTGACAGTCTTCATCCAAACCAGTTAAGCATCAAACACTTATATATTTAAAAGATATGATACACGTAAAGCGTAAAACCATGAGAAATACTCACATCAGTGTGTTGAGTGTATAGTGTTTATCCTCCAGTAGAGCAGTGATCTGCTTCATGTTTGAGTTTCCTAGTTTACACTCACTGAGATTCAGCTCTCTCAGGAGTAATGGGTTTGTTTTCAGAAGAGTAGTCAGATACTGACATGCTTCTTCTGCAGCAGGACTCAAAAATCTGTAGAAAAGATGATGAAGTATGATTCAATTCAGTTCATTTCTCAATGTTGGCATCATAAAAAAATAGCACTGACCAACAATTAACTCTGGTTCACTGTCATTTACTGTTACAGATTTTACTGCTACAGTTTCCCAACTGTGCAGGACCTGTAGCATTTCTATAAATAAATTGCCTTTAAATCATTTTGTTTTGTATTATTTCATCATGTCTAACCTCAGTGTCTTCAGTTGATAGTTTGGATCCTGTAGTAAATCACTGAGCTCCTTCACTCCTGATTGTCCAGGATCATTTCCTGTGAGATCCAGCTCTATCAGGTGTGAAGGGTTTGATCTCAGAGCTGAAGCCAGAGCTTTATAACCTTCTTCAGTGATACTGCAGTCTGAGAGTCTAAAATTTAAATGACAATTTAACATTCAACTGATTAATCAGTTATTTTAAAACTTACCTGAACAATATAAATCATTATAGTGACCATTTTATTCCTTGAACAACTGAATTAAAAGTTATTCATCCAAACTGACAACCAAATATGGAGGTAAACAAAAGAACAACATAGATCTTTACACATCAACTCTATACAGTCACTTTCAATTATTTAATTATCTAAAAATCTACAACTGTAAAAGCTGTTTATCTGAATGATCCACAACACACAAGCAACAGAACTGCTGAAAAACAAAAACAAAAACATTTTTGTAATTAAAGTCCAGACTTAAGCCCCATTGAAATGCTGAGGCAGGACCTGAGATGTGCCCTTCTTTCTGAGGCCAATTTACCAGCTTGAAGTTAACACAAATCTTCATTCTGAATCTGCACTAAGTACTTCAACTAATGATTAAATCACTTAAATTTAAATTGCATTAAAGAAAAACTAAATTAAAAGTGTTTTGTAAAAAGTGGTATATTCTCCACAAACAGTCATTCATTCATTTATTTAATCATAGAATCACATTAATAACACTTTTATAAAAAAAAAAACACATTATTTGCATTACATTTACAATTATAAACCTAAATTTGTCTCTGATTTTGTCTGCAATTTCCATTAACTGTTGGCAAGTCAAAAATCAGGACTAAAATAGTGTCGTGAAAAAGTGGCAAAAGTTTAAGTTTGAATAGTCAATGTTCATTTGACACATTGTAAAGTGATTGTTAAAAAACTCAATTTTCTTGATGTCTTTTATAACAAGGTGCATTTTTTTATAGATAATTTATACCTTATTAATAAAAATTAAAATAAAAAAAAATAAAAAATAAATAAAAGCATCTTGCAAAGTGCCAATTTTATGTAAAGTTACATTTAAACAATACATTGTTTTTCATTTATTTTGTAAAGAATATCAAACAGATAACACTAGTAACACTTAATTTTTAGTTGAACTCAATTCTGTCTATCACACAACTTACCTCAGTATCTCTAATTTACATTTTACACTCTCCAGTCCAGTGCAGAGCAGCTTCACTCCTGAATCCTGCAGATTATTATTGCTCATGTTCAGCTCTTTCAGATTGGTATCTGATCCAAGAACTGTAGCCAGAGCTGAACAGCTTTTGTCTGTTAAGTTACATTTATTTAGCCTACGTGGAAAATGAATCATATAACATAGTTAGACTGAATGCACAATACAAATATTAAATATATTATTTTTACATTAAATATACTTATACAAACATAGAGGGTGCAATGTGTACTACACTGATATTCAAAAAAGTATATTTTCATGTATTTTGGATTAATTGGCAAATTTTACAAATCAGATTGAACATAAATGCTATAATAAAGCCTGCTTAAATATTTATGGAATATTATATTGCATTACTTAAGGTTCACAGCTTTACAGTAATAACTTTTATACATTTTGTTGTACATTTGAAAAAGAAAATGTTTGAAATACTAAAATATATTATACAATATAACTGAAAATTGCTTTATATAGTAAATATGTGAAACCAAAAGAATGCTATTATTAAAATAAAACAGTGGTTCACTGAACTCACATGAGTTTCTGCAGTGTGCAGTTTGTATTTTCTAATCCGTTCTGGAGTTTCTTCACTCCTGAATCCTGCAGATTATTGTTGCTCATGTCAAGTTCTTTCAGACTGGAGTTTGATCTCAGGACTGTAGCAAGAGCTGAACAGCTTTCCTCTGTTAGACCACACTTACGCAGACTAAAATGATGAACAGTAGAGGGAGAATTTACAAACACACGTACTTGATACCAACATTCAGTGAGTACTGAGAATTATTATGAGTTTGGATTCTGTAGGGTTCACTTCATTTAAGATACTTCAATTGCACAATATGACAATTTAAAACCATACTCACTGAATTGTGTCTAATTTACAGTGTTTATCCTGCAGTAGAGCAGAGATCTGATTCACTCGTGTGTCTCCTAGTTCATGTTCACTCAGATTCAGTTCTCTCAGGAGTAACGGGTTTTTACCCACAATTCCAGTCACATACTGACAGGCTTCCTCTGCAGCAGGACCCAAAAACCTGGACACAGTAAGTACATTGATATTACCTGCCATATTTTGATCTATTTTCAAAAGCTTGTGAAAGGGCCTTTAATCATTTCAATGCTTTTATAAATATATTTTAATTCTGTTTTAGCTAAATATTTTTAATGTCTGCATTTTGTTATTTTATAAACCACTCACCTCAGTGTTGATTTCAGTGAATACAACCATCGCTCTTGTAAATCACTGAGCTGCTTCACTCCTGATTGTCCAGGATCATTTCCTCTGAGATCCAGCTCTATCAGGTGTGAAGGGTTTGATCTCAGAGCTGAAGCCAGAGCTGTATATCCATCTTCAGTGATACTGCAGTCTGAAAGTCTACAAAAAAAAATAAAAAAATCAATAAATAAAATTTGCATTGCAGCTCAAAATAATTACTGCACAATAGCCTGAAACATAAAATGACTAAATTACACAAAATCCTATCTTATAAAATATATAGATAAACATATACAGGTTAACCACTTATTTATTTATTTATTAGCACTTATTACTATAGTCTTGTTCAGACTGTCAGTCCAAATATGATTTTTCTGCATATCCAAGTGGAATGTGATCATACTTAGCAAGTGTGTACGGCATTTTGTGTAGCTTTTTTATTTATTTTTTTTACCTATGTCACTTTCTCACGCCACGTAAATTGTAAACACGTCAGATGTTGTTTGTAGAAAACATGCTGAATGTCTTTTCAGAAACAAGGTTTTCTTGTTGCAAAATGCAAGTCTGGCAGAAAATGACAATAAACTCCTGATCTACATATCTTTAAGTTTTGAGACTGGCGGAAACGACAGCATGGAATAAAGTCATGCATTCCAGCTTCCTACGTTTCTGCCGCTGCCTCATAAGACATAATAATCCGATGCAACAGCAAAATGTTTTTATAGTGCAAGACAACATCTGTATTGCAAACTCTGTTGCTGTTATTGTTTTTGGCATAGGCATAACAACGTTGTTGGCATAGAAATGCACTGCAGATATTCCGTAAAACAAAAGAGCACCAGAAGAAACACACATCAGATCTGAACAGTTGCAATACACAGTGCAGTCAATCATTCAGATCAGATTTCAATCATATAGACAAACAATCAGATTTGGGCTAACAATGTGAACAAAGTCTATGTGAGTTGAGTAATTATAATTAATCAGTCAGCAAGAGTCTGTGATTTTTACATCTGTGTGGTTTGTTTTCTAAATAGCATCCTAAATGTGGGAAAATGTCATTGTGATCCAGTGTTGTTATAGTTCTGATTTTCTTATTTTTTATTAGTATTATATTAAAAATAAATAGATAAAATAGGAGAAAAATTGTTTTTTTGTTTTATTTCCACTTTGGTAGGTGAACACTTTCAATATAAAATAATGCTGTGGTGTTGAGTGTAGCTGCTGGTGAAATGTACTCACTTCAGTATCTTCAGCTTCGATTTCTTCAGTCCCTCACAGATCTCTTTGACTCCTGAGTCCAGCAGACGACTGTTGTTCAGGTTCATCTCTTTTAGGATGGTTTTGGAGGAGAGAACAGTAGCTAGAACTGAACAGCTTTTCTCTGTCAGCTCACAATTATTCAGCCTAAACACAAAAACAACATTATTTATTATTCAGCACATATTCAACACACATCAGATCAACAGTTCTTCATATCTGCTCACACATGTGACCCTCTAGCACTTCAAGATGCAGTTGCAGATCCAACATCACAAAACTGCATTACCAAAATAGCTCCCCAAGAACTACTGAATTCATTCAGTGCTGTAAGACAGGAGGAGCTAACAAAATTGATCACTGCATTAAAACCATCAACATTTGTACTAGATCCCATTCCTCTAAAGTAAACAGAATAGAAAATAATGCATGGACAAGCATTAAGATGGTTCAGATCTTATTGGCCTGACCGTTACCATATTGTTTGTGTCAATAAGGAACAGTCAGACAACTACAGATAACAACTAACACTAATATGGAGTCCTGCAAAGATGTGTGTAAGGTCCTTTTCTGCTTTCATTGGAAATATTATTAGAAAACATGGAATTACTTTAGATGGTTATGCTGAAGACACTCATCTCTATATTTCCTCTAGACCAGATAACATTTCTAAATTACACAAGTTAAATGAATGTATTAAAGACTTTAAGGGTGTGTCGCATTGACAAGTAAGCATCTTAAATCAAGATTATATCTGGGTTTATCTGATAATTCTGTTACATAAAACTTTAAACATAGTTTAAAAATAAGCAGGGTTTTTGATCTTGGTTTTACTTTACATTTATGTTTCACACACAAAGACTTTGCAGGACTATACTAAATATAACTTCACCTTAAAAAAAGAAGCTATAATGTATAAAATCATGTTCACTCACTTTATTTTCTCCACTTTGCTGTGAGAGTCCATCAAAAGAGCAGAAAGTTTCTCCCCACCCAGAACTCCTAATTCAATTCTGCTCAGATCCAGTTCTGTCAGTAGTAATGGATTTTTACCCAGAACTTTAGTGAGATAGTCACACACTTCCTCTGCAGCAGGACTTTTCAAAAACCTACAAAAGTAGAATAGAAATTAAGATTAGAAAATATTGTTAAAATTGAATACCTTTTGCAATTCCTAACCTCCTTATGGGTCCAGTGGTTAAAGTCATAGTTACGTTATTGCTTAAAAAAGTAAAAGTTACACTGAGGAAAAAATACATTATACAAATAAGATATTTGTCATTTGTTGAAGTGATTTATGATGTTTTATGTTATTTTTGAATCATTCCTATCATTCTAATTCTGCACTGGCCCATTTGTGCACTCTACGTTGTTGCACACACTTGACTTCATATCTGTGGCTTATTTAAACATTTGAAAGCATTTCTCACCTGATGATCTTTAATGTATACTGCTCATTCTTCAGGAAATCTAGGATCTGCTTCACTCCTGATTGTCCAGGATCATTTCCTGTGAGATCCAGCTCTATCAGATATGAGTTTGATCTCAGAGCTGAAGTCAATGTTTCATAACTTTCTCCAGTGATACTGCAGTCTGAAAGTCTGTATAAGAGGGAAAAGGCTTGTGACAAAGTACTCCATGTTCTACACCAGATAAAATGTACAGTGAAATGACATTATTTTAACAATTACAAAAAAAAAATATTTAGATAAATGTTGCCTTATAAAGTGACAAACACACCTTTTTCATTACCAGCAAAAATCTCACATCATATTAATGCAATAAATGCCAGTAAATATCATCTGAATTTCTGAATATTTTATGCAATTTTTAAAGCTAATGATGCAAGTGATAATTTTTTTAACTGAATTTAAAAATGCAATTTCAGCCTTCATGCTCTTTTTTTAGTAACCTAATCAAATAGACTTTCACCAATGTATACATTCAGAAATGTACATTAATGAAAACACAACCTTAGTTTCTCCAATCTGAATTGTGGATTGTTCAACAGATGACAGATCTTCTTAATTCCAGTGTTTCGTAGTTTATTTCCACTCAGATCCAGCTCTTTTAGGTTTGAAGGATTTGAATTAAATGCTGAAGTCAGAGCAGCACAACCTTCTGCTGTAATGTTGTTATTATTCAGCCTGCAGAGAAAAAAAGACAGGAAAACTTATTTTGTTTTATATTAAAACATTATTTAAAAAGAACAGCAATGAGAGTCTTAATACAAACAATGTAGTGACAATCAATCTTATATTTTAATTATATTTAATATGTATGTAAGTATATTTAATGAGTATGAAACCATGAGAAATACTCACATCAATGTGTTGAGTGTACAGTGTTTATCCTGCAGTAGAGCAGCGATCTGATTCACTCGTGTGTCTCCTAGTTCATGTTTACTCAGACTCAGCTCTCTCAGGAGTAACGGGTTTTTACCCACAATTCCAGTCACATACTGACAGGCTTCATCTGCATCAGGACCCAAAAACCTGCAGAAGGAAGTTGAAGCATGGTATAATTCAGTTCTCACCTTTATATTGTATAATGGAAAACACAGATGATATCACATAAAACCGCTGCAGTCAGTTATTTTTTAATCTTGAAATCACTGTTAACGCTGATGCAACAACAGGCTGCATTACTGAAATTATTCTATAAATAATTCGCTTGTATATCATGTGTGTATTATTCCAGAATTGTGTATTATTTATTTCAGCCTTATTTCGTCACATCTCACCTCAGTGTCTTCAGCTGATAGTTTGGATCCAGCAGTAAATCATTGAGCTGCTTCACTCCTGATTGTCCAGGATCATTTCCTCTGAGATCCAGCTCTATCAGGTGTGAAGGGTTTGATCTCAGAGCTGAAGCCAGAGCTTTATAACCTTCTTCTGTAATGCTGCAGTCTGACAATCTATGAAACAAAATATCAAGTATATATATCAAGCTTATCAAGTACCGGCCTTATAAATAACTTCTGACAAACTACTACTTGAAACTACATGAACTAAATCACATTTACATATTTAAAATTCAGTTTCAGTATTTAGTACAATATTTTAAAATAGAGATACAAGTACAGATAGTTAGACTGTGGTGAAAACAGCAAATTTAAGCATCCATGGTCTTGATTTTTCAGTTAATCTAATCAAATGGACATTTCCAAATGTGTATTAACATGCTGAGATGTACTGTAGACAAATGAAAATACACACTCAAGTTTCTTCAATCTGCATTGTGTATTTTCCAACAGAGGTGTAGCGTCTGGACCACCCAAACACACAATATATATTTTGTTAGCTAGATTTAACAAATACTCTGTAACACCCCAGGATGCTGAACAGGCCCCTGGTTCTATAGCAATGCGGACACCCAATACATTTACGACCTCCTGGAATTTAGGTGAAGAAAATCGCTTCCTTGCCCATAAAGAAAATCCACAAGGGAAGGACTTTTCTTTGCTAATTAATTCATAGGAAAACCTTTCTTTGAATGAACACACATGATCCTTCAGGTCATTGGGTATATTATTGTCATCGTGTATTTTGTCTTTGAAATTGCATACTGGGATGCAGGTTTATAATCGAAACGCATTCCTGATCATCCCTTTTCATGTAATCTTACCTTGTTTAGTATCTATGAATTTGCCTTCTTATGATCGAAACAAGCGTGTATATTATATGTTGTTACATAGGCAATATATATTAGGGTCCTGAGAATCGTCAGTAATTTCGATTCAAGTCCATTTGCAAATTACCATGCTTAGAGATGAGATGATAAAACAAGTTAAATTCAATTCACTACTAAACTTAGTGTGATAAAAAAATAGCAGCTAACTTTGTGTTATCTTTGATTATTTTTGATGCAACAGATTGCAATAATGAAACAATATTTCCATAAATAATCATATAATAATAAGCATTATTTAATTAATTT